GTGGGTGGAAGAAGCAGATGAAGAGGAGGCAGAGGCCTGGCCTGTTGGCGGTGGTGGCATCTGGAAGGGACCCTTGCCCCGCTTGCTTCCAAATAGGGAGCCCAGGAAGGATGAGGAGTTGGAGATGGGCCTCTGGCTCTTGTACTCCTCTGGCGGCGGGGGTGGGGGCGGAGGTGGCATCCTCTGGTGAGGGCGTGGACTGCTAATAACAGACCCCTGGAAGGTAGGGGAGGGAGTCAGGCCAGTCTAGACGTTCTAAACCCCCAACCCTAAACTCCTCCCCTGTCCCTGAGGGCTGGAACTGGGGAGACAGGGACCCCCAGGTCATAATAAAAACCAAACAACAGTCCTGAACATGTACGTGGAGCTCCCCAGCTTGCAAAGCTTTGCTGTCACATCCACTATCTCAGCTGAGCCTCAGCTGGGTGAAGGATTAGCAGTACCTCCTCCTCATCCCCATTTTGCAGGCAGGGAAAAAGTTAGGCCCAGAGAGGCAGAGTGACTTGCTCAGGGTCAAAGAACAATACTTGGAGGTCAGAGCTTCTCATGGCCCAACTCCAAGGGCATCCCTACTCCTATAGGAGTTGGCCCTGGGGTTGAGAAGGGGCATGGGAGAGTGGAAGACAGACTGAAAGACAGGCAGAGTGAGGACAGACAGAGTTGAGGACAGATGGAGAGAGTGGTTGGCTGGGAGAGGAAGCTGCATGGTTCCCAGCAGGGAAGAGGGGGAAGCAACAGGTCCCCTCCTCCTCTGGGGCTCTGGTGACCAGGGCAGGGCTCATGCAGAGGATGAATGGGGCAGGAGCTGGCACTTACTTCAATGGTGCTGTCCAGCGATCCCACGCTGTTACGGCGCCCCCGCTTCCCTGCACCCACAAGCAAGGAGCCCAGCGTCAGAGCAGCAACCCCCCCTCCCCACCCTGCTGGGCTCCAGAGCTGGGCCCCTCCCGGGGACAGACACCCCATCATCCCTTTCCCCCATCGAAGAGGGGGAGGAGGAGTGGTGGAGGAGGAGGAGAGAGAGGAGGAAAAGATGGAGGAGGAGGAGAGGTGGTACTGGAGAGACAGAAGAGGGAAAAGAGGAGGGGTGGAGCAGCGAGAGAGAGGGGCTAAGCCTGTGGCCCCACTTCACACTCCATGGCCCAAACCTTGGGCTCCACCTGTTCTGACCTGGCTACCAGGCCCCCTGCGGCTCAGTGCCCAGGGCTCTGGGTGAAGGCAGGGCGCGTGCGTGTGCAGGAGGTGGAGGGAAGGCTGTAGCCAGTGACAGGAGGCAAAGAGGACACCTGGTCCCATGTCTCCCCAGCCAGGGCAGGGGCCCAGAAGACTTGCCTGCATCAGAGAGGTCTCGCAGGGAACTGCTGAGTGCACCCCGTTTGAGCCCATCGCCTGCCCCATAAGTGTCCTCCAGGCTACTGCGGGCCAGTGTCCCATTCACTGAGTCCTTGGCCCCTCCAGGCTGTGAGGCATTAGGCCGCATCATACCTTTCTGCTTCTCCAGCTCCGCTGGGTGGTGATGGGGGAGACAGGGAGCAAGGGTCAGGAATGGAATGAGAGCCCACCTGACTGACCCCAGCCCTCCAGGGGTCTCCCCCCTTCCTCCGCCCTCCCTCTATCCCTCAGGCCTCCGTCTTGCCCCCTGGACGGCCAGCGCTTTTTTCACCCCAAACTGCAGCTTCATCCCCAAAGCTCCCAGCCCCTCTCTCCTCCTGCTCACTCTTCCCTTTATCCCTCTCAGTGCCTGCTCTTCCTGCTCCTTTTCCCTTCCTTTCACCCTTCTTACTTCTCCCCTCCCCTACCCTTTTGCAGCCAGGTCTCCTGAACCACCCCTGCTCATCACAAAAGAGTTTCACAGCAGATGGTTCACAGTAAGGAGTGGAAGGCCCTTCTAGCCTATGGCAAACTTTCCCGAGTTCACTCAGTTCTCAGATACCTTGCTCCAAAGCAGAGGAGCTCCTGGAAGGGCAGGAGCAGGAAACTGACAGGCATCGAATCCTCTATTACGTGCCAGGCAGTATGCTGGGCGCTACACATCTCTCAATCCTCACAACAGTTCTGAGGTCAGAATTAGCATCCACATTGAGCAGAGGATAAAACTGAGAATCCCAGAAGTCATAGAGCTTGCCCAGGGTCATGCAGCTGGAAACGGTGGAGTCAACATTCTGGAAGCAGGTCTGCCTGATTCCAGAGCCTGGGCTCTCCAGCCTCCTTATACCCCCACCTCCCCACAGAGGTCATGGAAATTCTTGTTTATTACCCTTCCCTCATCTTAGTATGCTAATCCCTCTCTCTGGATTTCCCCAGGGTCTTGGGGGATGTGGTGAACTAAGACTTCTTATTCTGCCTTGCTGAGGAGAAGAGTAGACTCTGGAACTGTGAAGGCCTCAACAAGGAGCTGTCCACTGCCTCTGTCTCTCTCTTTCTGTCTACCTGCTTCTTTCTCTTTAACACCATGTTACTTAACTGTAACTGCTTAGCCTGGAGGAGAGAAAACTTGGAGAGCATCAGGAGGAATGAGATGTAATCATTATTTTGCATTATATATGATCAAAATGACTTGGTGTAGCCCCTGGGAGGATAGGTCACCAGGACTAAGCTCAGGAATTGATATGTGAGAGGAGAGGGTAGGACGAGGAATAATATTTGTTGAACACATAGGATGTGTTAGGACACTTTGGCTACCTTGTCTCATTTCATCTCTGCCATTCTTTGAAAGAGATTTCATTATCCCAATTTCATGTAGGAAGAAACTCAAGCTTGGAGGATTAGGCGACTTGCCCAGTTTACCTATATATAAGAAGTAGCATACCTGGGATCTGAAACTAGAGTCCTTCCTCCAATACCTTGATTATTCTCCCTGCTGCCTTTCAATAGAAGGAAGAGCTGGCTCATAATTAGGGGTTAAAATAATAATCTGAGGTGGGAGGTAATGAGCCCCTTGTCACTGAAGGTATTCAAGCAGAGGCTGAAGGGTTCCTGGAACGAGGGTAGGTAGGTTGGACAAGCTAACCCTCAACTCTTGAGATTCTCAGAGGACAGGATTCTTGGTTTCTGCAGAGCACTGAGTCAGGAGAGGGGGAGGGAGATGGGGCTGGACTACTCACACTCCACACGGTATTTCTCCATCTCCTGCACCTCGGCAATGGACTCGCGCAGGTCAGATGTGAAGCGCAGCCGGTCCTGGAGGCTGGGGGCATTGAAGATGATGAGGACTTTTCGCTCCCCACCAGGTACTGCAGACAGCAACTTGATCCCAAACTGGTAATCTGTGGGGATAGGGAGGGGAGAGGGGAGGTTGGTGCCTCTGTCAGGATTGCAGTAAGGTGACAAATACGTGAAATAAGTTTTCTAATGTCCAACTCTGATCATGTCTCTTCTCTGCTCGAGCATCTTCAGCGGCTCTCCTTTGCCCCCAAAGCCCCCTAACACCTGGTAGCCGTGGTCTTCTGTACTCCAGAATGTAAACACAAACTGAAATCTGCCTTGCTCTCTTGAAATCCTCTCCTTCGTGTCTTAGCCTCTACTCACATCACTCCTGCTGCCCAGAACACCAACCATCAAAGCTCCTCCTGGTTGAGGCCTTCAGAGCACAGCGTCATCACTGTCTCTTTGGCTCACCAGAGAACACACATACTGTTGTTCTCTATAAGACCACGAGCTCCCCAGGGCCTAGACCCGACTCACATTCCACCCTGGCCTGCCCTTCATCCCGGGACCAAGTCAGTGCTTTGGAGACCTCAGCCCAGTCATAAAGGACTCCACTGAAGGCTGGTATGGATGAAGGATGTGTGTGGGGGCCATGGCATAGACTCTTGGGATGCTGGGATCCAAGAAGGGACTCACATGAATTCTGGAAGAGCTGCATGTGCATTTCCACCAGGGGAAAGGATTGGCGGAAGCTGTATGTCACCAAGATCTTCTTCTTCTGGAAAATTTTGGTGACCTTTGGCAGGGGTGGGAAAAAGACAAGAGGCAGGGTCTGGGGTGGGAAATTGCCAAATGGCACCTATTTCTAGTACCCACCCTCCCCTCCCACCCCCACTAACAGATATATACACACAAACACACATACCCACAAGTTGGGGAGAACTGAAGCTTGAGGAACAGAACAGAAAGAGATGGGAATATGCAAGTTCCTGATGTAATGATAATACACACAGGAATTTACAATTTTTACAGGAACTAACTGAATGCTACTCCCTCCAGGAGGCCTGTTCTAATGCTCCACAGAAAAAAACTTTTTCCCGTTTTTGAGCTTCCGGAGTGCTGGTTCACTACCTTTCCCTGGTCAGGCTCTATGATAGTCCTCTGAGTATGTGATCGCCCCCTGCTGGACTGGAGGGCAAGAGTCTGGTTTTCAGGTTCTCTCAACCACCCCCACCAGAGCCAGCCTGGAGTGGCGATATCTGCATAGAGTTACAAGTCTTCCCCTCAACAACCCAAGGCCTTTGTCAAGTACTTGGGCACTCTGGACTCAACTGACATGGGCTGTGAACACTCAGGCATTCTGTAAGTGGCTCTTCAAAGCAAATGTTTTCACTTCAGGATGGTTAAATTGCACAGTGATACAAAGCACTTTTTAAGGTCCAGACTGACTCGGGGGTCACAGGTTCACCTCTTTCCACATCTGACCTCATTTCACCCTCATGAAAACCCTATGAGGTAGGGGTTTGCTCCATTTCACAGAGGAGGAAATTAAGGCTCAGGGAAAGCACTGGAGGTGTTTCATCTAAAGCAGCAATTCTCAACTACGAGCGATTTTGCACCCCAGGGGACATTGAGGCAATGTCTGGAGACATTTTTGGTTGAAGGGTTGCTACTGGCATCTAGTATGTAGAGACCAGGGTGCTGCTATACATCCTACAATGCATAGGACAGCATCCCCCCAACCCCACAATAAAGAATTATCCATCCCCAAATGTCAACAGTGCTAAGACTGAGAAACTCTGCTCTAAAGGAGAGAAGACCAAGGGTGAAAGGATTGCTGTCCTCAAATCCCTGAAGAGCTACCTCAGAGCAGAGGTAGAATACTTGTTCTTTGTGATCCCAAGGGTCAAGTACAGGTGCTTAGAGGAAACCCATAGGAGAACAGATTCTAGCAGTCAGAACTACCTGACAGGGCAACTGGCTGCCTTGCAGGAAGGCAACTTTCTGTCCCTGCAGTCACATAAGCAAACAGCCATCCAGGAAGCTGGCTCTTGCCCAGGAGTACCTGAAAGTCCCTTCTGACCTGCAGGGTCCTAAGAGTCCCACCCCTAAAAGAGGAACATCTGTACTGGTCATGAGCTTGGTTTTAAGAATCATTTCAAGCATTCTGACCACTCAAAAGGTTTCTCTTTGGCTCACCAGAACACACACACTGCTGTTCTCTGTGAGACCATGAGTTCCCCAGGGCCTAGATCCGAGTCACACTTCACCCTGGCCTGCCCTTCGTCCCGGGATCAAGTCAGTGCTTTGGAGACCTCAGCCCAGTTGTAAAGGACTCCAAACACTGAGGGCTGGTATGGATGAAGGATGTGTGTGGGGGCCATGGCACAGACTCTTGGGATGCTGGGATCCAAGAAGAGACTCACATGAATCCTGGAAGAGCTGCATGTGCATTTCCACCAGGGGAAAGGGCCCAGGGTCACAGGTTCACTTCTTTCCACCCAACCCTTTGGGCTATTGAGGTGAACAGAAACATCTCCTACCACTTCCTAGACTGGAGTCTGTCATCTCCCCTGGTCCTCACATTTTCTGCCCATGTGGCTATCACTACCTCCAAATGGATCCTCGAGGAGAAGGAGGGGCAGAGAAGGCCTGCGCCTTGCCTGAGACCACACAGATGGCATGACAGAGCACCTCACCCACCATGCTCCACACACCAATGTCAACGTGGTTCACGCCAGACCCAGGGGCCAGGCTCACCATCTCCCTCCCATCTCCTCCCTACAATGCCCATACCACAAGGAGATCATTGAAGAGGAAGACCTCCCGCTGATGCAACCCTAGCCTCTGGGGGCGGTTTGGATCTGGCACCTCGTAGAGCTGGCAGCAGCAAACCAGTCGACGGTGAGGAAGAGACAGGACCTAGACAGGCATGAAGAAATAGGTGTCAGTAAGTCCAGCCCATCAGCTTCAGACCTCCGGCACCTTAACATTCAACCTCAAGAGAAAGTTTACCTCTGTATGCATGTGTTACTCTGACACAAGCAGTATATGCAACTAAGGCCTAAGCTTTTCTGCTGCCTTGCCTTTGTCCTTGTAGCTCCCTCTGTCTGGAATGCCTTTCTTGCCCAGCTCTGCGCAGCCACATTACACTCCTCCTTCAAATCCCCATTCCAAAGTTATCTCTTCCAAGAAGCCTTCCCTGATTTCTTCAGGCTGAAAATGGCCTCTCCTTCCTTTCTGCTCCCCTAAACTAGACCATAAAGTACTGGTCTGTGAATGCCCCCGAGGGCAGAGACCATGCCTGATTCATATCTATGTCTCTGGTGCCCTGTGAAATGCTGGGCTTCGTGGAAATGTTTATTGACTAAATGTTTGTTGACTAAAAGACCAGAGTGTGTTCTTTATTTGGTTCTCAGCTAACTATTAGCTTGGCTCCTCACTTGGGATGGACAGGCAAAACCAGAGTTGGGGAGGATGCTAATGTTTATCCAGCACCTTCTACGGGCCCTGCAATGCACTAAATGCATTCACATGGAGCATCTCAATCTGTGCCATGACCCCCTGAGGAATGTGTTATCACCCACTCCATTTTGCAGGTAAGGGGAACCTATGGCTCAGAGGGGTGGTGACTTACCACTCAGTGGTGGAGGCAGGCCAGAACCTGGCCCTGCTGCAGCCTCCCAGGGCACTTACCGGTTTCTTGCCGACAATCATGCGCTCTACGGCCTGCACCTGGGACACATGGTCATCGTTGGTCCGCAGTTCGCGCCCCTGGATGCGCTGGTAGATGCCCACCAAGAGGTCTCGGGGGATGTCTTCACCGTTGTCAACCCCTGAGTGGGGGGAGTAACACAGGAATATGTCATATAAATAGGGGGAGTGGGTGGTAGGGGTTCTCCACAACACCCCACAGCTAGGCATGGGCCATGCTATCCATCAGGACAGAGGGTCAGTTGGTCCCCTCAGTCCCCCAGCCAGGATTGGGGCAGGGAAGATGCCCCTCATCAAAACAGCCAGTTGCTTTTTTCCAAATGGTGGGGATTTTGTCTAATTAGCAAAAATAATTGTAAATAATATCCAGTGCTAGCAAGCGTGCAAGTTAGCAAGGTAAAGGATAGTAAATCCATTTAGTAAAATAATATACAGTTATTAAAAACTTGACACAAAAAGATTTCAGTAGCATGAAAAAATTCTTGTAGCAAAGAAATTGAAAAAAATTAAGATAATAAATTACATATACGGCATGATCTTAACTATATGAAAAGTTACATAGGCATGGGGAAAAAGATTAGAATACACCAAAATATTAACCATGGTTGCCTCTAGGGGGCAGAATTTTGGGTGATTAGAAGAAATTTTCTAAAATTTCTGAAATGAGCATGTATCAACTTCACTTGTTTATTTATTTAATAAAAATATATACATACATATATATATATAGAGAGAATGGATGAATGAATAATGGCAGGATTGTAGGAGACAGCTCCAAATGGTTCCTGATCTGTCTAACTCCCTCCTCCCAAGTCTATCATCCTTCTCTACTCCTGATTGTCTGCTGAGTGAAATCCACTCACTCTTCTCTCCAAAGCTTCTGCTAGGGAAAATGTTTTCTCCTTTGGAAATGCCACACCACTTGCTTGGACAGGTGCTACAGGAACATCCTTCATCTACCTTTTTCACCTTAGCTGCCAGAAAGCTTTAAAGCCTATCAACTGTGCACTCCCCAATGGTCAGCAAATTTGTCTTGTTTTGGGTTTGTTTGGGTTTTTTCCCTTCAACTCTGTTTCCCTCTTTCATTTCAGTGACATTCAAGACCCTCATATATTGGTTCAACTGACCTTCCCCGATCATCCACTCCACCTCAATTGTTCTTAAACAACTTCACATTTCCTATCTCTGTGCCTTTGTTATTCTTACAGCTAGGTAAACCCTCCTTAATCTCTATTCTGTCACCTTATCCATGCCTTCTAGGCCCACTTTAAATGAAAAATACTGCTTCCTCCAGGAAGCCAGTTGGAGGTGGGCTATCCCTCCTTTGAGCTCTGATTGCATTTCTGGCCTCTCTGACGTAACGGTTCACTTTCTGTCTTGTATTAGTTTCCCGGGTACTACAAGTCAGTCACTCCCATACATGGGGAGTTCCTTCAAATCAGGGACTATGGCAGACTCCCCTTCCTTGTCCTTGGCACCCATCATAGGGCCTGGCACACACTAGGCACTCAGTGTCAACTGGCTGGCTGGTTGGTTGGCCAAGTGAATAAATGGATGAATGGAGGAAATGGTACCTAAAATAATTAAATGAGCCTTTACTGGCATAAAGGAAGACGAGAGGTAAAGAGGGAGTGAGGAATGGACAAGTGAGTGACTGAGTGAGTGAACTGGTGTAAGCCCTGTAAGAGCCAGGGCTTTTACCTATCATGTTCACTGCCATAACCCCAGGACCTAGAAGCCTGGTACACAGTAGATGCTCACTAAATAGTCAGTGTGTAAATGAGCAAATGGGCAAATGACTATTTGAGTGAATTAATAAGTGACCGCCCAGGGAACTCACAGGTTATTTTCCAAGGAATGGATGGGATCTCCCTCATCCTCCCCCACCCCCCACCCCACCCACTTTCCCTTCCCAGGTGAAGGGCAGGAAAAGCTGATGAGGAAGTCTGGTCACCTCTCAGGTTCTTGATGAAGTCATCTAGTTTCATCTTGCGTTCAGCCTTGACACTGGGACTGTACATGTCGGTATTGAGGAGAATGATGGCAAAAGCAAGGATGAAGATGGTGTCTGGATTCCGGAACTGGCGCACGAGGGCTGGGTTACAGACACAGTACCGCTGGCTGCAGGGCAGGAGGGATCAAGGCCAGACTCAGCCACCAGCAACCTCTACCCATCCATCCAGTGTGGCATCACCAACCCTTTCCTCCAGAAAATCTTCCTTAGCCCTCTGGGGAAACTCTGTCCTTTTCAGAGTTTCCCCAAGACTAGCATGTAAAAATCACAATTGCTACCTTTTACAGAGCTTTGCCAGGGAATTTATGTCCATTGTCTGATGTAATCCATCACAATCAGCTACCTGCAAGGTAGCTTTTAGCTGTCCCATTTTACAGATGAAGTGACTGAGACTCAAAGGTGAGGTAACTTGCCCAAGGTAATAGACCTGGTAAATAGTGAAGCCAGGATGAAAACCCAGATCCTTCTGACTCCAAAGCCAATCCTTCTTCCATTATGGGAAACAAGTTCTCAGCAACTGCTCTGTGTCTCCTCTAAATACCCCAAAGTCATGGAGCCAGGATTTACACCCAGCTCTGTCTGATCCCCAAAACATTTATAGTAGAGTATTATGACTAATGGCATGGACCATGGAGTCAGACACACTTGAGTTCAAATCCCAGGTCCACCTCTTACTTGCTACATGACACTGGGCAAATTACTTAACCTCTCTAATCTTCAGATTTCTTGTCAGCAAAATGGGAATAACAATAGAAGCACCTACCTCATAGGGTGCTTGTGAGAATTCAGTGAAATAATCATGTAAAGTGCCCAGCTCAGCACCTGATACCTAGTAAGTGCTCCACTAATGTTAACTGTTATTGCTGATGTTTTTGTCACTTATTAAATACCCATGTCCCAGATGCTGAGCTAGATACTTTATATGCACTATCTCTGATCCTCACAACTGTCTTGCAAGATAGGATTTATCATTTCCATTTTATGGTGAGGAAAATATGAGATTCAGAGAACTGATTTGTAGACACATAATACATTGGCTCCCAGAGTTGGGGTTGGGGGGCAGCTTCAGGAGTGGGAAACAGGCACACCTGAAGGCTTCTATGAGTCGCTCCACTTTCTGGGCCTCACCCTGGACTCGGATATGGGATTGGAACTTCCGGAGTGCATCATCCAAATCCATGGAGGAGAAGTCCATCTCATCCACCACACAGCTGGGGAGCAAAGAAGGGGATGGAACACTCTCAATTCCTCCACAGAAAACCTCTGATCCACCCTGACCTGCTCAAGTGGACCAACACTCCCATGGACCGACTTCCAAAATGGGGACCTGTGGCCCACGCAAGTACATATGAGGACAGAATGTTTGAAATTGAATCCATCCCAGAAAATCAAGGCAATACACATGGTCATTAAGGTCCTTTCCATTAATCCACTAGTTTCAGAGATGGGAAAACTGGGGCCTGAAGCAGGCCATAGAAGGAGCATGCCTTGCCTGGGGCCACCCAGAAGAATAGGAATAGGGCCAAAAGAGATCAGACCCCTTTGGGGCAGAAGGGGTATTGGAGTAGGAAGGTCTACTCATCCTGTTTTGCTTGTCTGTTTGTTGTTTTTTTGGTGGCTGGCCGGTATGGGGATCCGAACCCATGACCTTGATGTTATAAGGCTGTGCTCTAACCAAGTGAGCTAACTGGCCAGCCCTATTCATCCTGTTTTGAAACGTTTTTCCAAACAAAAAGGACAGGCTGACCCCGTCCTCCTTCCTGCTCCCCTTTTCCAAGAATCCCTGGCCCAGCCTGCCCCATCCTGGAGTCCTCACTCCAATACGTCTCTGTTGAACTGCTTCTGCCGATTCCCTAGGAATTCCCCTATCATCTGCCGGCTCAGGCCTTTCCGCTCCAGGATGAAGTGAGCCACTCCCACCGGCGTGTCTGACAGGAAGCCCCGTTCAATGAGATACTGGATACCCTTCTCTGGCTTCCTGCAGAAAGAGGGAAGGTAGATGAGATGATCGTCCTCCTGGAACTCTGCCCTCTGTCCCACTTCTTGAACTAGTTTTGGGCCCAACTAACCATGGCCTCAGAGAACCACAGAAATCAAATATGTAATTTGGTCCACTCCCTTCATGGTACAGATGAGAAAACTGAGGCCCAGGGAGAGGAAGCCATTTGCCCATTTTACAGAGCTTCAAAATTCCAAGGTATCCTCAACCCAACTTCCTCCTTCACTGGAGCCACACCACAATTGAAAGAAAATCAGTATCTAATGAGAGTCTGCTCTATGGCAGGAGCTTTGATATTCCTAGCAAGCAATTCCCTTTACTTCTCCAAACCTCAGTTCCTTACCTATAAAATAGGGACACTACTACCCACCTTGCTGAGTTATTATGAGAATTAAATATAGGTGGCAGTGTTTAATAAGCCATAAAAATGTAAGGCATTACATATAATGCTTTATACCTAATGTTTTCTAATTACATCTAATGTTTTCTAATTATGTTCTAATCAAATGTCACACTCCCACCCAACTCCTAAGCACCTGGCACAAGACCAGGCTCCTAGAAAGAGCTCAGTCATGGGCATTGAGTAGTCCAACTCACCACCCTGCCCCCCACACCTCAAACATGCACACCCTGCTATTTGATAGATGGAAAAACTGAAGCCCAAGGAAGGAACACACCTTGCCCAGGGCTACTCAGTGAATGGCCAAAGGCATACTAGGGGTCCAGGTCTCCCGTTTCTTAGACTAGAGCTCTTTATGCACCACATCACCTACCCTCTAAAAAGGGGAGGTGGGGAAGGCCAGGTTCAGAATCCATTTAGAGGGAGCATCTCGCCTAAGATCACACAGCCAGTCTGAACCCAGGTGTGCTGCGGGTCTGTCTACTCTGCCACCCTCTTGCCAATCCTCTTTCCTGAATAGCTGGAGAGAGACACCATTCCACAACATGAGAGGATGGCAGAACCAGGATCACTGCTTGGAGTTCAGTCCCAAGGACCAAAGTGGCAGGGTAGGAAGGGGTGAGGAGGCTGGATGGAACAAGAGCACATACTTATTGAAGAGGTTGAGGCCAATTCTATAGTGCCGCCTCTGTACCACGTCGTTGTTGAAGGCTGGCGAGTCCCAGCTGTGCCTCGTCTCCCGCTGGTAAGTCTGCTTGCACAGGCCAGTGGCTGGAGGCTCCCTCAGGCTGTCCCGAGAAGAGGAGCCAGAGCTGCAGTTGATGGTCTCATTGGAGTTGCTGGAGCTCTCAAGGCTCTCGTTATCTCCACCGTCAGAGTTCTCACCTGCTGCCTCGCATTTTCCCAACCTCCGACCCCCAGCCACACCACTGGGCCCAGTGCCACTATTGGGGGCTGGTGGCAGGGGCCCTGGTGGGGCTGGGGCTGGTCCCTCAGGGGCTGGGTAGTGGCGGTGTGGGATTGGGGCCCTGCCTGGTGGCCCCTTGTGCTTCAGGGTCCCATGGGGGCTGCAGCCATCAGCCTCATACACCAGCTGGCGGTGGACAGAACCGCGATCTGAGCGGTCACTCAGGTCCACGGAGCTGTCACTGGGAGGCTCAATGGTAAGCAAGGGAAGGTGGGCAGCCCGCAGACGGAAATCCCGGCACTCCAAGCACCCAGGACCCCTGCGAGTGCCTTCCTCACGGCTACCATCTTCCCGGGTCCCTGGTGGCACTGGTGGAGGAGCTGGGGGGAGAGGGGCTGGTGCCCAGAACTCGGAACGGCCCTGGGGTGGGGGCTCTGTGCTGGGCAGTCGCTCAGGGGATGGTGGGGGAACTGGGTCATCCAGGTAGAGTGGAAGGTCACTGAAGGACGTGGCTGAGCTGTCCTCTTGCTGTTCCTTTGACTCCCGCTTCTCCAGTTGGGCTGACCCTGGCTCCTCAGACATTGGCCCTGATGGGTGACAGTTCAGGGCCTCGTCGATGGATTCAGCCAGAGACTTTACCTGCATACGGGGGAAGGGGAGGAGGGAAAGGGAGAGAAAGGAAGGAAAGATAAAGGGAAGAATGGTGAAGGGTGGAATGAAGGGGAGGGAAGGAAGGAAAAAGGGGGACTCTTCCTGGTGGGTCAGCTGAGAAGGTGGATTCCCCTCCCCCACACTCAATAGGTTCTCACTTATCTATAAAATAACTCCCAGGGAGCCATTGTGAGCTCACAGGAGCTGCGACTAATGCCTACAAGTTCCCTTTTCAGATACCCCAATACTTCCTTTATGTCCATATCGACTCAAGCCAAATGCTACCTCCTCTCTGATTCAAGCTACATTCCTGCCTCTGCCATCCTCCACATCAAACCAAAATCCCAGCTTCCTCTGTGCTCCCAGAGCTCTCTGTGTGATTCTCTCTTAGGAAATCCATAATATTTAGCCTTGAGAATCTGGACCACACCTGGTAACTCTGCCTTCCTGTGGTATCCAGCCTCCAAACTGGCCCCTAATGATCCCTGTCTCCTGGTATTCATACCCTTGGGTACCACAATATACCAGAGTTGGTCTGTGTGACCAACAGCATATGGCAGAAGTGAAAGTATGTCACTTCCGAGATTAGGTTGTAAAACATTGCCCCTTCCATCTTGAATGTCTTGCTTGCTTGTACTCTCTCTCCCAGACCCCTTGCCTGGGGGAAGCCACGTCATGAGTAGCCCTATGGAGGGGTCCACATGGTGAGGAACTGAACCCTCCTGCCAACAGCCAGTGAGTGAGCTTGGAAGCAGAACTGTCAGCCCAGTCAAGTCTTGGGAGATAGCAGTCCCACACTGCAGCTTGACTGCAGCCTCTTGAGAAGCCCTGAGCCAGAACCACCCAGCCACACAACTCCTAGCTTCCTGGCCCTCAGACACTGTATGAGATAATAAATGTTCCATGTTTAAGCTCAATTTCTCAGGTCATTTTTAAGCTACTAAATTTGGGGGTAATTTGTTATACAGTGATAGATAACTGATACACTTCTCCATCAGACCTTTATAGCACTGAGAGCTGGGACCAGACCAGTTTGTCCATCTGCCCCACCAGACTGTGTCTCCTTCTATTCCCCATTTGTCCCTTGAGGGATGAGTCCAGGCCTGGTTTCTCTTTTTCAGCTCAGCTCAACACATTACTTGACACAGAAGAGATATTCAATTAAATCTTTGTTGTATGAATGAATGGATGAATGATTCTTTCCTTCCCTCTACCCACCTCTTTGCTACCTCCAAGGAAACATGGCCAGGCTGATGGCAAAGCCACAGAAGTTAGTGCAAGAGTGAATTCTTCTATTATAAAGCTACATCCATTCATTCATTCACTCACTCATTCAACAATTTCTGCCAAGTATTTCCTGGTTTTGGAAAAAAACTAACATATAGTTAGCAGCTACCATGTATTAAGTGCTTTTATATATATTACCTAGTTGAACTGAATCTTCAAAACAGCTCTGAAGGGCTGGCCCATGGCTCACTCGGGAGAGTGTGGTGCTGATAACACCAAGGCCATGGGTTCGGATCCTATATAGGGATGGTCAATCAGCTCACTTGGGAGAGCATGGTGCTGACAACACCAAGTCAAGGGTTAAGATCCCCTTACCAGTCATCTTTTAAAAAAAAAAAAAAAAAAAAACAGCTCTGAAAAGAAGGTTTTCTCTCCATTTTATTGATCACATCTCAGTGAGGTTAAACAATTTGCCCAAGGTCACACAACTGGGAAATGGCAGAACTGGGATTCACACCTGGGCAGGTAGGCTGAAACACCCCAAGTCTAGAATGATCTCCCACCACCTTCACTACCAGTTACATTCCCACCCTTCCATGCTTCTGCTGATACAATGCCCGTGCAAGCAATAGCCTCCCCAACTATCGCTAACTTGCTAAATCTTCTCTGGTAAGGCTGAGCTCCAGTGCTGTTTTCTCAAAGAAGCCTTCTCTAGTCCTCTCAGAAGAAAGTTTCCTCTCCCTATTCTGGGTTCGCACAGTACTATATGTGATCCTTTCTCATGATTCTGAGCACAGTCTATTTTAAGAGACAGTAATGCACACATATGTCTGCCATTTCCTAGTGGACTGGGAGATCCTTGAGAACCAGAACCAGGGCTGGTTACTCAGCCTCAGTCTCCTCTGTAAAATGGGGATGATAAGCCCTGTCCTGCAGGTCTGTTATGAGGCATCCACAGCACCTGGCCCGTAGTAGGAGCTCATTACCTGTTAAGCCTTTATTTGATAGTAGATCAAGTTCCAAATAGTGAGAACTTTTATTATTTGTTGTATAAACCCATATTTTGACTTACTTGTTCTAACAATGTAATTTTTTATCTTGCCAATTCTTTCTCATGATTCTCACAGTCCCAGCTCAGACCGTAGCTATTTGTTGTTATTCCAACCTCTTTCAGTTTGGAATACAGGTAAAAAGTAGTTGGAGTAGCCAGAGCATGGGGATGAAAGGGAAGAAAGGCCCTTTTCAGGGATCCTGACCTGTTTGGAGAAGGAGTCCTCGAGCTCTGTGATGTCGTTAGAAAACTCTCCAGATGTGGTGACGGAGCTTCCACCACCATCAATGCCCCCACCACAGGAGCCTCCATATGGGAGTCCCCGTTCAAGCCGGTGGCTCCGGGCACCAGCCATGGCACCCTCATCTAGTGAGGCAGGCTTGCCCTCGAAGTACGCAGGGTTCTGTGCCTTCTCGTACTCCTCAAAGGAGAACTGCATCCGCATGTTGGAAAGGATGATGCGGCGGGACATGCGGCTCTCTGAAGCTGAGCTGCGAAGCCGCTCGAAGTTCTTATTCATGCGGTACTGGCGGAAGGCTGTCTGGATGGTCCTGGCAGCCCTGCGGCTCAGGAAGGAGCCCCCATACTTCCTCTCCAGCATTTCCACCTGGCAGGGGAGGGTTGAGGGGAACAAGGTCAGAAATTCACTACAGCCTTATATGGTCCTGGGCCCTCAGCCACACTGCCACCCAAGTCACAGCTAACTGCTTCCAGTTGCCTGGATGTGTCAGTGTTGTCTTCTCACTTGAATCTCAGCTAGCACTGGTCACATGGGATTGGGTTATGTTTTGCTTCATTAATTTACAAGAAGTACATGTTGATCATTCAGAAACAGTTTAAAAAACAAACAGAGAAGCCAAAAAGGAAAGAAAGGAAGAAATAAATGAAGAACAAGAAGGAGGAACAGAATGAGAGAGGAGGAGAGAGAGGGAAGCAGAAAGAACAGGAAAGAAGGAAGGAAGGGAGAGAGGGAGGAAGAAAGGAGGAAAGGAAGGAAGGAAAATTGGTTCACCTAAAGTCCAAACACCTAGTCATAACCACAATTAACATTTTGGTATATGTCCTTCCAGTTTCTTCCCCCATACGTAGTTTTGTTTTGGCTGTTTTTTTGTGTGTGTGTTTTTAGTGAAACAATATACTGTATCACACTGTTCTGAAATTGTCAACTTATGTGTGTGCCTACCCCATTCAACTGAGTTTTTTGAGGACTGGGTCCAGATCTCATTCAGCTTTACATCTCCAGAACCCAGAAATGGAGCTCAAGAAATGTGTGCTGAGCGAATACGAGAATCAGTGGATGGGTGGTGAATGAGTGAATCTCCCGTAGGGTGAACGGTCCTGGAGCCAGTCTTCTCCAATTCTAGTCTCACTGTCCCTCCCCAAATACCAACCTCAAGCACCATACCCAACCCCTCCCTTGGCCCTCTCTTGCATCCCACTCCCATTCCCAACCAGAGAGCTGTCTCTTCTGTACCTTCTTGTCCTGCAGGTCTGTGGAGAGTTCATAGCTGTCCGACAGGGCCTTGGAGCGCTTTATCTCCTCCTCCTCCTGCTTCCTCAGAGCAACACTGGCTGGCTGGAGGCGTGCCCGCTGAGCCCAGGGGAGGCCCACCCCAGCAGGGGGAGCCCCCATGTGGCTGCTGGGGGGGGGCAGCTGGCTCAGCCGGGAGGGGGGTTGGCTCGGGGGCCCCCCCCAGCAGGGGGAGCCCCCATGTGGCTGCTGGTGGGGGGCAGCTGGCTCAGCCGGTAGGGGGGTTGGCTCCCAGGGCTATCAACCGCTGTGTTCAGGTCGCTGCCTGGGGCATCACCCTCCACACTGTGGGGATGAGATAAGATGAGCCAGGATGTGGGAACAGGAGAGGGGCCTGCCAGGCCAGACCGAGAGTGGGTGGAGCAGATCCCTATCCCTGATCCCATCCACCCTTGCTTACTCACAGATATAGGGACCCCAACACTTAAAGACCAGAGGGGAGTTTTAGCCCTCAAGCTAGTCCTCACTGCCCCCACAGTCCTTTCCCATCAAACCCTCTTGCCTTCACAGCCCAATCCTCATTCCCCTCCAGCCCTGTCCTCTCTTAACTCCATCCTCTTAGACTATTTTCCTTGAAGGCTCTGTCTTCTCACAGTCTTGTCCCCAGTTCTACTCACCCCTCACAGCCGGGTCCCCTCACAGCCTTATTCTAAGTCCAGACTCTTCCCAGTCCTGTCCCCTCAAGCCCCTTTTTCTAACAGCTCTGTCCCCAACAGCTCCATCCTCTGATAGACTAGTTCCCTCACAGCTCCACCCCTCCCCCAGACCTCTTCCCCTCACAGCTCCATCCCCTCATGTCCCTGTCCCCAACACAATGTACTGTGGTTTCCCTCCCAGTCTGATCTCCAGCACAACCACAGACCAGCACCCTTGAAGTGCCAACCCCTCCCAGCCCTTTCCCCAGGTGCCCGAGGCCCACCCCTGCATCCTGCCTGCCCAGGCTCTCCCCTCCCCAGCCCAGCCCTGCCCCTGCAGCCCCGCCCCTGCCCTCAGCTGCTGGTGCTCCCAGCCTTGCCAGTTCCCAGGGTTCCCAGGCTCAATGACAGTGGGAGGTGCCTCCCACCCGGTGTCCTCACAGGTAAAGAGCTGCCCTGAGGGGCAGCTTCCTTTTTCTCCTCATGGCCTCCTCTGCTCAGCTGGGGGAGAGGAGCAGGGGGGTGTCCAGGTGGAAGAGTGGCAGGAGTCGGGCTCCAGGTCTTGCCTGCCCGTTACCCAGAGCTGTTGTTCTGCCAGGCCTGCTCCCATGGTGCCATGGCAACCAGGCTGCCAGGGAACTCAGATGGCGACAGAGCCCAGGCGCCCTGAGCTGAGCAGGCACAGTAGGAGCCACAGAGTTGGGGAGAACAGGAGAAGGGTCGGGAAGGGAGGAACAGGCAGGTGAGGAATGGAGGAGACTGTGGGGGGAATGGGTGTGGCTGGGACCCACAGAATGTTCTGGTTTGGGAAGGCACAAAGTTGGGGGGCTCTTGGCTGGCGAAAGAACTAAGGCGCTACTCCCCAACCCCTACTTGGAAAAGGCCAGGGCACAGGGCAGAGGCAAGCCCTCAGTAGGTGTAGGTGGGTGTAGGAGGGATCCTACCAGAGCAGGAGCTTGAGCTGCAACAGGCCTGCCAGCCATGCCGCAGAGCACTTTGCGCTGGGGGCTGGGTGTAGGGGGTAGGCCGCACCCATGAGGCTGGGTTCCAGGCTGCAGGTGGTGGAGCTTGGCTCTGCCCTGGCAGTAACTCCCACCACTCATCCTCTACCCTCCCAAGTGTTAGTCTGCAATACTGCCAGGAGCAAAGTGGAAACAGACCAGGGGACTGCCCTCCACCCCAAATTCTCACTCCTCCTGGGCTTCAGGGGCCCTTGATGTCACCCTCCAGGGGGCAGACCTGTCCCAGCCCACCCCCTGCATCTAAGATGCTCCTCTCCTCCCCCTCGGGATTGCAGGATCCTGCCCACCAACCTCTCAACCCTCTCACCTCCCAGCACACAGCTCGAGCCCAGTTTTGACTGTCTCCTCTATTCATGAACCATCCATAGTTCCCCCTGCCCACAAGAGATAGCCCAAGTTCGTTATTCTGGCATTTGAGGCCTCTCCAAGACGAAACAGCAAATATTTATGGAGCAGTTAGCACATGTAGGCACCCTTCTTACTACTTCACACTTAATAACTTGTTTACTCTTCAAAACAACCCTGTGAGGTGGGTATTGTTATTTGTTTTCATTTTACACATAAAGAAATTGAGGCCCAGAGAGGTTAAGTAACATATCTAGGTCACACAGCTACTAATGATAGAGTCAGAATTTGAATTCAGGCAGTCTGACTCCAGAGCCCAGACTCAAAGATTAAGCCATACTGTAGGGTTGGCTGCCAGCCCTCTACTCCATCCACCCTTCAGCCTTCAGCCTGGCCCAGATCCTGTTTCTCCCAAGTGCTGTTTTCTACCTCCAAACTTCTCATACAGTACCTTCCAGCTGAAATGCAGTTGCCATCCTCTCTGCCATCTGCACTCTGAGAAATCCCCCCACATCCTAGTTCCATCAAGAGTCAGGTCATATGCCACCACTAAGAAGCCCTCCTGAATCCCGCCGCCAGCCAGAAATTACTGCTGATCCTGTTCAGAGTTCCCACACACAGCACATGTCTGTCCTTCTTTTTATGGCCCAGGTTAGCTTTGGCAAAGCGTGACAGCTATTTGTGTTCATGACTCCCAGAATCCCAGCACAGGAAGAGAATTTGGTAATCTCCTAGCTAACACAGAACACAGGGCCTGGAACAGAGTAGGTGCTCAATAAAAGCTTCTGTCATGGGGGGCTCAATGAATGCACTCAGATGGCTACTCTACTAAATACTTTCACCTGAACTTTTACCACAGCCTTTAATCTCCTCTTCCAATCCGTTCTCCATCCTGTGGCCAGAAAGAGCTTTCAAAAGTACGAATCTGGCCATTTTGTTCTCCCACTAAAACCCTCTGTTCGAAAAAATAGGAAAATGTCAGTGCCCCTCAGATGTTCAGAATCTTGCCGAGCAGTTGCTGTGAATATCCTCAGGTATTCCTTGTTACTACTTAATGTAAATTGCCTTTGGACGCCCAGGTGTCCGGGGTTGTGCACTTAAGTATAAAAGACTAATAGCTCTGATCCGCAGTGCTTCTCAGAACTCTCAGAGAAGCCACTAGGACAGTTGCTCCTAGACCTGAATAAAGCTCGTTCATTTTCCTGTACCCACGGTTCCCAGAACCTTTTTTTTCTATTACCTAGCTCACAGACCTGCATGTGGAGGCTTTGTAACCCAATCTGTGCAACAGACTTGAGGGGTCTGTAAGCCCTAGCTTTACAATTGGCATACTCGGCAGGATATTTGAGCAGGTAAGGGAGCCAAAAGCCCCTTTGAGAGGGAGGAAATGTGGCTGCCCCTGAATATGTTGTGCCCTCTGGCCACTTTCCAGGTGACCGGGATCCGGTTACTGCTCACTATACTGCAAGTCAGCATAGACCAGGCACTCCATGAAGCAGTGTGGCCTCGGAGAGCCCCTTGGGAGGGGGAGGAAATGTGGCTCTCCTTGAGTATTTGGTGTCCGGTGGCCACTTTTCTGCTGACCGGAGCCTGGCTACTGCTCACTATTATACGAACTGATTGAGATTTAAAGAAGCAGAGCTGTTGGAAGCATGGATAATCTGTCTGGAGGATGACGTGCTGTGACTGGGCACCCCTGCCTCTCACACCTGGAAAAACGACAAACCCAGTGGTGAGTTGGAGGAGACTTTGCGTCTCCAGGCACGACCTATTGTGCACCAGAAACTGAAACACGAGCAGTCTATAGGATCATGTGGACAACAAGAGGGTAATCCACAGGTAACTGAATTCACTACCTATGTCCCATACACCCAGGTTGAATTAGTTGATTTAGGGAGACAGTTCTGGCAGAAACAGGGGGAACCCCTAGCTGCTTGGCTGCTGCAGTTATGGGACCTAGGGGTGGATAGTGTGATATGCTCTGGTGAGGAGACAGAAAAATTGGCCTCTATTACCATGCACCCATCCCTGAGGCAGCAACTGCAAAATAGCCACAGATACGCACAAGGGCCAGGTGATCACTCTTTAATGGAATGGGTGAGTGCAGCTGCCCAAACCATGTGGGCAAGTGCTGGGGAATGGCCCAAGACTGTGAGTAAATGGCAAACATATACTGACTTGGTTCAAATAATTTGGGAGCTGGGGATGAGGCAGTCCATGTTTAATATGAACACCTGTGGCCCGGACGATGAAAATTTTAGAGGCAGCATGAGAGACACAGTACTGCAAAATGCCCCATCAATGTCCTTTGGGTCACTGATGGCCATACTGGCCCCATACATTGGTCGTCCTATACATGAAGTAACGACCGTGATAGCTAGCTTGGGTGTAGTAGAGGAGAAAAGACAAGCAAAAGGGTCCGAAAGGTGGCTAAGACCAAACCCCCAAGAAATACTTGGATTTTGTCCCAAAGGGACCAAGCAAGACTAGCTGTAAGCAGATGTGGCTTGACTTGCTTGCAGAAGGAGTTGATAAAAAGAAAATTGACTGGCAGCCAAATGCAGTCCTGTTTGCCTTGTGGCAACAATTACGCCCTGAACAGCGTTTCATTAAACGTCCAGAAACAGGTAGCAAAGTGCACTTGGTGGACTTAAAGGATTTTTTGATTGCTTCTGAGGAGGTGGATGAAATGTTCCAGTTTGATTAGGGAGCAGGCCAAGGTACTCGTCTTTTGAGGGCAGGCGAGGACCGGAGGCCTCACGTTGAATTGGCAATACACTGGCCAAGGACTAATGTGCAGCATGTTTTGGCATTGGTAGATACAGTCATAGAATGTAGCCTGATATATGGCAATCCAGATAAGTTTCCAGGGGCCACAGATCATATAGATGGATATGGAGGACATATTATTGAAGTCAAAGCTGTGTCACTGCCATTAAGCATAGGACAATTGCCCCCTCATGTGTATACTGTATATATATCCCCAGTAGCTGAGTACATCTTGAGTATGGATGTACTTTATGCTTTGCACCTGAAAACAACAGTTGGAGAGTTTCGGCTGTGAATACAGACAATAAAGCCTGTGTTACGGGGA